TACCTCTGATACTTCTTATTACCTGGTATAACAAGGTTGACTGTTATGTCATTTTAAATTACAAAGTATATCAACTGATTTGCACAAACACATCTTTGTAATACATATCTTTGAACAGCTGCATTTGAGTCCTTGTCCTCGAATTAAAGGAAGTTTTATACTACCTCATGTATACTTATTTTTCCTGTACCAACTTCTTCGATGTTGAAAAAATTTTCTTTGTAAAAGGTAACCTGGTTTCTTGCATACAGCAATTTTAAATTACCAAATAGAGTACCAAAAAACATAAAATTCAGCAACATTAATGTCTGTAATAATGGCTATTACTGATTTTGAATCCGTTTTCGATCTATCAATATCAGGTACTGTTATTTTAACATTTTGTCCTAGACTAGGTTTCAAAAAGTTTTTAGTAGACGCAATCTTCATCTACTTTGCCTGCTTCTCAAGTCCTTCCTTAGCTGTCTTTCGAAACGCTTTCACATTTTGAACTTTGTTGATAATTGCACCTGTTGTATCAGAGTATATACCTGGTTCATGTTTTCTTTCAACTTGAACTTCAGGATTGACTTCCATCATTATCGACTTCTTTTTCACATGTATTTATTATCTTGCAATTCTAAATCAACTGTTCATTCAAGATTAGTGCCTTCATCTTTTGTATTAACCATGCATTCATTATTAATATTTATAATTTTTTTTGAGTCCTCTTCTGTGGCCTTGAACAAAATTATGTGGAAAAACTGAGCAAGTCCCAGCTTCATAGGGCAACCAAACATAGATTTCTAAGGTGAACACTTGATTCCATTGTGATATGCTTTGTGATGCGCTTTTAGTGTGCAGACTTTTGGAGTAGGATGCATTTTGTAAGATTATATACACTAAATCAAATTTTATAGGGTTGGACTGCATATCTATTAGGTCGACTTGGCATCGATAATTGATTTTGCTACGCGCAACTGGTTTGATTACAATCCCCCTTTTCACATTTTTTGTTTTTTCTGACATGGTTCACATAGTCTCAAATACGTGACGATAGATACTACTGGGACATTCTTGTACTTGCGATTCAGTTCCTTACGGCCAGCTGCGATATGAGTATTGTGTATGACGTTGAAGATTTCATCAATTGTAACATAATACAGTATTTTTGCTTATTCTGCAGATAGTGGTGCTATAAGTATGTCATCTCCAATATTTAGAATATCATAACGTTTCAATCACAAATTTTGCTTTTTTCACTTCATTTATTAAAGAAGTTTATTTCTCATTTGTCAAGTAAAAGCTGTTAGCATGCTTCTTCCACTTCATTTATTAAACAAGAATATTTCTCATTTGTTAAATAAAAGCTGGTATCGCGCTTATTTTTTACAGATTTGAACAAAATGTCGTAAAACATTTTTCATATAACATCACTCGTTTCTTGTCAGCAAAATAAAGAACGCAAAATATGTTTAAATGGAAACAAACTGCTTCTATTTTAGATCGTAGCCACTTATTTGAATTTGTTCAAAGCTATTGCAAATGCCGCAAATAAGAAGGAACGGCAACAGAAAAGTGTTGTGACGGAATTTGCTTGCTTAGGTTTATTCAGAGCTGATTAAATCCTTCTTTTCGGGCTTTTGCCAGAAGGCGTTGGTAAGTCCTAGGTTTTACCGCAGAGGCTTGGTAAAAGTCCGAAATGGAATCATATGAAAGCACACTTCAGACTTTTACCACTTTGGTAAAGCTAGATTTTACCAGACTTCTTTTACAGTAATATATATATATGTATGTATGTATGTATGTATTTCAAAATTATATTTGCTTTGAAGGGAATGAGTCTATCTTCATTTGAGATTTTTATTTGTGTACTTAATTAATCTAATAATCAGATGTAAATGCTTATTTCATATATTTCTTCCCAAAATCTTATTTTTTTTCCATGAAAAGTGTATAATGTGATATAAGGTTTTGTTTGGTTTAAATCAGATATTTGGTAATCCAGATCTAATAATCAGATGTGTGGTACATAAATCATAAATGGTTTAAGCTTTTTGCACCATCAGTGCAAATTTCATATATTAGATGCTCATGTCATCCATCATATAGGGAAACTTATTAGAATAAGTACTGTGGTACCTGCAGCTGTGTTAATATCTTTGTGAGTACATCTTGATTATACATATATGATCAAAGTGTTAACTAGTATGAGACTTTTTCTTTAGATGAAGGTCACTTCATGTGCTATGTTATTTTCACTTGTATTTTTGTTACCAGCTTACTTACGTTGTTTCAAAAGTTAGTGAATTATCCACTTTATTAAGTTATTGAAATTTCATGGGAAGTGTAATGTTTTGGAATTAAAATTTCCTCTTTTCTTGCATATATCGGGTTTGATGTATGTAATTTAAATAAAACAAAAAACTAAATAAATTTGTCAACAGTAAATTAAACAAAATATTTCATTGACTAATTGATGGCTTAATTTCTTCTCTAGTTCATATTATCAAGTTAACTGGGGTGATTGTACTTAATTTTTGCCATCGCCTTTCGTATGCACAGCTGTGAGAATTATTAAGCAGTCTTAGTTTATATAAAAATTAGATCCATACACAGTGGGAATTAATAAAATTGTGAAAATTAGGTTATATTTTAATTCTGACTTCGAAGAAAGAATATATAACAGATGTGTTATTTAGCTTGTGGATTTGAATATTGTTCGTAGAATAATGTTGCTGAATACTGTCATTTGAGTGCTGAAATTTTTAAAAGAAAATTTAAATTCTGATCTTAGAAAATTATCCCATTTTGAATTTTTCTATTTTGTGATTGGTAAGTGTGGGTCACACACATTTGTGCTCAGCACTGGATGGATTTTCCCTAACATGTTATTTTTAAAATATATTATGTAATTATTTTAGAATTAAAGTGTAGCATATAAACTTACTGTTGACAATTTAATATTTTTCTAAAATTGGAAAGTTCAAAATTCATTTTTTTTTAAAAAGCAAAACAGTTTCGCACTGAAAAACAGTAATAATAAGCTAGCGATTAGAGGAAACAATTTTCTCCTTTCCCCCTCCCTATAAAAAGTAAAATGTTTTTCATAATGAAGTGAATCTTTTGAAAAAGATAAAATCTCATGATTTCTGTGTTATAAACATGCTATTCTATTTTTATGGAACACAGTTCTACATTATTAGGAGGAAATCAACAGAAGACAGTGGACACTCATTATACAATATCATTATCATATTTCTCTCATCCTCATAACTTATAACCGAGCCATCAGTCTTTCAATATGGAGGTGCATCTCGACCAAGTTGTGAAAGATAATGGTAGAGAATGTTTCTTGGACCCGAGATTACCATTTAGTATTTTGTGGTACTCAAATTTTCTTTACATAATAATATATTTTTAATCTTATTTTTTTTTAATGAGACGTATAATTTTATTGAGTTGAAATGTGTTCAGCATTGCATTTCGAAGATTATGCGTTATGTAAAATAACTATAGGAATATTAAAAAAGCATAAGAAGCACTTAAAATGGAGTTGCTAGTATTTTGTACTGCCAGCATTAGAGATTAGTGACTTTGAGTTTTTTCCCCAGTCATGTTAATTTGATTCAAAGGAATTGTGAAGAATATGTGTATAATTAAAAGATTTAGTCTAGTTGGATGATGGGTTTGCTTGTTTTTGTTGTGTTAGTATGAGATTTGAAACAATGTTCAAAATAGTGAAGCAAGTAATAAGTTATTAATTGTCTAGTTCTGTATAACTTCAGGAGAATGTAAACTGGAATTATCTAAATTAACTTATTAGTTAGGATTCCAGGAACAGTGTATTTTAAAATGTATTGCTAAGTTGCATGCTTTTTTTTAATCTTGGTTTTTGATTTTTCCCCCTTGTTTTATGAAATATTTGAAAATATTTGAAATATTTGAAAGATTAGGACTGTTGCTGCATGCATTTTAATTTGATGTGTAAAACTTTTTCTGCTAGAGAATTTTTGAACAGAAGATGCCAGATAAAAATATGAATTTTAGCTTAATTCAAAGAAATTTTACGTTGATAAGCTGGTTCCTATTTTGGGGAGGTGCGAAGCATTATCAGATGGTAATTGAATAAATAGTTCTCTATAAAATGGAATTGGTATAGAATAATCTAAAATCATGTGCTTGATTATTATATTTGAGAAGTCACTGTAAGGCAACTCGTATGTAATGTGAATATATATATTTTTTATTAATAAGGATATCAACATTAATCTTCTATATCTTTCAAATAAACATTTAAGTAATCTTTTTTATTGTCTCTTTCAAATAAACATTTAAGTAATCTTTTTTATTGTCTGAGAAATTATGCAGAGAAATGAATCAAGAGAATTTGTATACAAAATAGGACAAAAACTTTTATTTGTGATATTATGGATAAAAATCCAGAATTTGTGTTTCATGCTTGAATAAGATGAATTGAAATTATTGCTTTTAAAGTGAAATAACTGATATTTTAATTTATTTTTTTGAATGAAAATTTCAAAATACTGTTATTGAGGTGTTATGCTGTATTATTCATGCATATTGAATAATGTATATTTTTTTACTGAACACATTTATTTGAGTTTACTATGTTTGCATGTACTATTTGTATGAAAATTGCTTTTTAATGCTGAATATTTTTCAAAATGCCTTATATTTTCTTTTAAAATGCAGCTTTGTAGGGTCATTTATAATACGTTACGAGTTTTGTTATATGTATTTCTAAATTTTAAGCATTAGATTGAACAAATGTAAAAATTTTAGAAGTATTTACATAAATTGGAAATTGTTTTTGTGAGAATGCATTAGTACTTTCTGTTAGGTGTATACTATATTTTCTCTGAATTTCTTATTTCCATGTGCTCAATTGATCAATTTTACTTTGATTTATTCTGGAAATAATAAATAAATTAATCTTTGTTCTCTTAATTGCAGAATGAAGAGGCAGATTAATGTAATTCACATTTATTTGCTCCTAGGTTCCATGACCTTTAGAAATTTGCAGACTATGGAACTTACGTGAAAACAATAAGTATGGTTTTTGTATGCGAATTAGTATCATTGAGATCATGTGATGTCTTAACAAGTTTATGGACAGCTTGAAAATGTTTCAAACCTATTTTAGAATATTCAGTAGTTTTTAGAATTAAAAACCAAAAATTACATTGATATAACACTCACAAATTGCTTTCTTAATCTTTTTAAAATAAAATTAAAAGTATGAATGTGAAAGCTTTTGTTTAAGCTATAAAATGTAGCATAAAGTATTTATGAATATGCAAAAAATCTGAAGAATTTAAAATACTATAGAAGCATTTAATAAAAATGCCTAATATTATGTTGTCTCATGAATGATGCATATTTTTCTTAATGTAATAGTTAAACAGATCGTTGTTTAATTAACAGTGAACTGTAAAATCATATTCATTTCATGCCATTACAGAATGTGTTGTTCTTATAACTGTATATTTATTGAATTCATCTAAAGCAGGATTATTGCTTTTTCACACTCATGTGATCATACACAATTTTATGGTTGTAGTAAATGCCCTCTGTCTCTCTTCTCCCCCCCCCCCGGGTCAAGTTACATGTATGAAATATGTATGGGGGGGAATCTATTATGATTTTTCAAGATTCAGCGAGTAGGAGGTTTTTTGATACTTGAAAACAACATAACGAATATTTTTAATAAGCAGAACTGTCATATGTACATTAAATATACTGAAATTGATTGACATGGAATCTTAATATTTTTGTTATTTATAAGCATATCTTTGCAGAATTTAGGTTGACTGAAATTGTTTGTGTAGTATGTGAATTTAATTGCTACTCTGTAAAAGAAAAAATGGAAAAGGAGTGTTTTTGTGTATTCCTTATATATTGTATGTTTTGAATAAATCTGTTTTATTAATGGAAGGGGGAAATGTGCCAATTTAAATAGCAAACTCAGGTTCTAAATAGTTTGAAAGAAACAGCTTGTATGATTTGGAAGAAGTGTGAAATTGAAGTTTACTTGTAGTACTTTTCACAGAAGACAGCCACTCTTTCTGTTCTAAGATTTTATTACTGTAGGCGTTTGAATTTTATTATATGTGTTTCAGGTGCTTTTAATGTATAATGTCGAAATATAAAGGTTTATTCAGAAAGTCTTAATTTTTTGAACTCTTAACTATTAAAAAACGATAAATCTGATCTTTTATTAATATAATAATTAAAATATGTTTTGGGAACTCATTAACATTTTATTAATTTTAATACTTGTTGAAACTCATATGAATGAACATACTGTACAAAGTTTCAGGGTTGCCACGCTACCTGGAAAACCGGGAGAACCGGGAAAAGTCAGGGAATTCGAAAATTGACCAAAAAATTCAGGGAAAAGTCAGGGAATTTAAGTATTTTTGTCAAAATCTGGAAAAGTCGGGGAAGTTCATACAATGATCCCGCCAAAAAAAGCGATTTTTGCGCCGCCGTCGGAAGAGATAACTTTTTGGCGAATTGCCTATCACGTGAGTGTCTGCTGTCATAGAGCCAATTTTCGCAGCTCCAATTTGATTGCCTTTTAGAAGGCAAAGCAAGTTTCCCGCAACTTTTGGTTTCCAGTATTCTCGAGAATCGCATGTGCAGTGCATGAACTAAAGAAAGTACCTGTCTCGTATAAAACGAAATGGGTTTAATCTTAGTATACGGTACCATGGAGGTTAGAATCAAAGAATATGTATTGTAAAGAAGGAAAACCTCTCTGCAACAGACGTGGCTCCGTTCCATCATAGAGGGAAACAGCTGTGCGTGATATATCTGCCGCCAAAGCTGGAAACCGGTGTCAAAGTTCGAAGGTCACGTTATCAAGAGTTCATTAAATGAATATCCTTTAAAATTTCTTTAACCACTTGCGCTAAAAAGACGTGACGCACGTCTTTTTAGCGCACGTCGAGATGTTTTTGTCTCAAACTGCGAGCGACGTGAACACCACGTCGATAAGCATTTATCGCAAAAATGAAAATAACATGGTGCACACGTCGCCTAACAACGAGATTGTTTATTTCTCGAGTTACAGCTCTGGATTGCACTCGCAGATGCGGAGCGGCGTAAATGAGACACTTTACCACTTGCTATATTGTAGCGCACTGCACCGCAACCGTGAAGTTTAGTCTTAGCGCAAGTAGTTAAACTCTAAATTAAAAGAAAATATTTTTTGGCGCAAGTAAATTAATTCATCATAGGTTAGTAATTTTCAGGGGGGAGGGGAAAAAAAAAACTACGAAAAATCCGTTTTTAAATTATTGCGAAAAATCCAAGAAGAAACGTCCTTTGATAAAACGTTTCTTCTTGGATTTTTCGCAATAATTTAAAATCTGAAACATTTCAGATTTTCTTTCTTTTTTTCAAACACATGTTTCTTCTTTACAATTTCTCTAATACCGGTACATCGCGGAGAAGGAAATTCTGGCCTCCAGGTTTCCGCCGCCAAATCCCTTGGCAAATTTTCCCTCCGCATTCTAGCGGCGTAATGGCATTACATCTATGGAACCTTTCCTTCTTTACATTAGACATTCTTTGGTTAGAGATAACCTCCATATATTCTATTCTAACCTCCAGGTACGGTACACACAAGATTTGGTGTCATTATGAATGAGCAGGTAAACGGGTCGTTTTGGTGTTGGGCCGACAATTTTCAAAATCGTGCCGTATTTAGAATTTTACCGTCAGAATTTTACCGCAAAATCTTTTTAAACTTTTCTTTTCAATAAATACCTTGCCATTTTGCAATAAAATAGAAAAATAGTAATCAGTCATCTAGCCTAACCATTTAATATAACTAACTATATTCGCTAAAATATTGTTGATTATTCTAATACAATTTTTAAGTAATTATCTTTATTTTATGTTATTCGTATCATTTAATGTTTCTTCTTCCCTCTAAATTTATTTATTATTTGTAAATAATACTTTCTAAATTTCAGGAAATTTTCTCTGTCATAATCCTGAAATGAATTCTAGCAGTATGATGACATACCATCCGAAATTTAATGCACATATTTTTTCTCATGTATGCTGCGAACTAAATATAAAATACCTCAATTTATTAAAAGATTTCTTTGTTCGTTCAGCTGCAGAATGTCTGCAAAAAAGCCTTATTTTATTCCAGATTGGGAAGATTCTAATCTCAATCTCAATGGAGAAAACAAGAACTATTATAATTATATTTGTGTTTTCAAGTGTTAAGGTGCTTTTTAAGAACATACCTCAAACAAATTAAATTTACCTAAAATCTAACCTAACTATTTAGCATTGTGTTGTGATTTATAAGGACCGGATTAGCCTCGTGTTGAAAACTGGTGATGATCATGAGTAATAATTAAATAAAACATACATTGTGTTATCCAATGTATATATCTTAAATTTTATTAAGTTTCTTAAGTGGAAAAGTAAACAAAATTATTCAAACAAAGTATACCAAGAATAATTAAGAATAAATGTCCTCTGGGATTTATTGAATAATTAAGTGAATTTGCTACACAATACAAGTAATACCATAATTTACCTCTTAGCGTAGCCAACGTACATTATGCGGATAGACTGGAATTTTCTTGAAACGCACCTGGAAAACCTGGAAAAGTCAGGGAATTTCATTCTCCTGTTTGAGTGGCAACCCTGAAGTTTACCCAAATATTTTGTAAATATGCAGATAATTTCAGTCTTGTTAAATAACCATGTAAGCCAAAAAACAGAATTTCGTTATTCTATTTAAAGATACAATGCTAATCAGAATGGGTTAACACGTGCCATTCTATTTTATATGGGGCATAGGAGTATTTAAAAAAAAAAAAAAAAAAATTGTTTGAACTACTTGGAAAAACTTAGTATCATCAAAAAGGTATTAATAGCAAGTGAGTTATATTCTTAATACGAAAAATGTAGTAGGTAGTTAAGTAATTTTGTGGTATTTGAATACAATGCAGATGAAATGCATTATGCGTTCACTAAGAAATTCTTTAATAGAATATTTTTCGATTGTAAAGAAGGACAAGAATTAAAGTGATTAATTTACTGTGTTAATATTGAATTAATGTTTAAAAAGAAGAAAATGAAAGGGGAAAAAGGCAAGCCAAATCATTTTAAACACAAGTATCGTATTGATTAGTGTTTTTATAAAATATTTACTAGTATGTGCGTCACATATATTGAATATTCCATGTAGTTATGTATGTTTATGGTGATGGCAAAAGAATGTTTATTCATATTATTTTACTTTTTAAGAAATTTTATATATTATATAATTATTTACATTTTTGATATTTAATAAATCACCAAATAGAATTTGCATGTAAGATTTTTGTTTTTATTATTGATTAGTAGTATTTTCATTCTTATGACACTTTCATTTGCTGTAAGTTAATGGTGTGTGTTCACTATGCGAGCATAAGTAAGTAAGCTAATGAGCGCTAAATTATTTTGTTGCATGCCTATTATAGATGCTTTCCTTGCAAAGATTTTGTTTTTCATGTAAAAAGAAACAAGGCTGGTTGAATATCGGAAGCTATTTCTTAAATTAGTACATTTAAATTAATCTTGCTAAGCAAAGTAGTAGAGAACAGAAATTGTGTTAAAACTTTATTGCTACGCTTCCCCAAACCAACTGTGAGTATACTATATTATGTCTCTCTATTTGATTAGATTAAGTTCAGTGCTCTTAAGCAATTTATTACATACTTTCATATAAATATCACATTAATTTGGACATAGTATGAAGTTTTCCTACATTAACTGCCTTTCTAAAAACCGCATGCATCTTATATGTACAAGCTAATAATTAAAAGTGATATTAAGATAATTTATTACTTATCTTACAGCTTTTATGTTAAAAGGAAATGTATTTGCTTACTTGTGGGTGGAGAGTATGGTATTTAAATTATTTAATTATATTTTTTGTCAAGCATATTTAACATATCAATCTAATAATGTATATTTTATCTCATTTACAAGCTCTGTTCTTTTTTTTTCTTGTAAAGTATCTTCAAAAATTCATTGCTCTCTGGTGTGGGAAGTTGTATTTTATTTCAGTCGGCATAGTATAGTAAATCGTAACTGTGATGAAATATTTTAGTCAAACTAAACTAAAAAGTAAGAAAGAGTAAAAATTTGAGTTTTAAAAGGAATGAAGGATGTGGTAACAAAGTTACTGTAACTTAATGACATATTTAGAAATATACCAGAGAAATAGAATTAACTGTATGTTAATTTTTTTCCCCTTCTTGTTTTCTTGAAAGAAATTTAATCAATTAGTTTAAAAGTAAAACAAGTGACAGACAAGTTTAATGGCTTCTTTTCGTTATATAGATTTCTAAAAATAGAGATAATGTGGAAGTTTCTTCGGCTTCTATTGGATATAAATTAAGTATTGTTATTTTATGTTTTTAGCCCAAAGGGGTAATTTGCTTAGAAGGAATGTTAATTTCGTTTTGGCATTTTGCATTGATTCACTACAAGCGTTGTTTCACTTTTCAAATTGTTGCCACCAAATAGTATTGCCTGTATTATATTTAAAGAAATTAAATAATGAAGAATCTGCATAAATGTATATATGTTTCTGTCATTGTGATAAATAAGGGTACCTAGAGCCATTAAATTTTGAATAATGTAATCTTGCGAGTATGGGCATCTGGAAGCTCAAATTTGGAATTTGTTTTATTATCAATTTCATATTTTGTAAAACTTAAAAAAAATTTTTGATTAACAAACTCAAAGATTTCCAAGTGAGCAATTGCAACTTTGTACAGAAAAAACATTTTTATCTCCAGCATATGAGACTGTGTATCGGAAATTCTAAAGATATGCTCATTTTAAAATTATTTTGCGATATTGCTCCTGAACTGAATTTATTAATTTTAAGTGCAAAGAACATGATATTTAATAAATAAAGGTAACACACAGAATGTTAAAAAAAACCACCCCTTTGGACATAATTTAAAATCTGAACCTTTTCAGATTTTAAAAAAAAATTATTGATATATAAATGCAATCTGTGCTTTGACACATCCAAGAAAGCCTGTTAAGAATCTATAAATTCAATCTTTGTACTTAAGCAAAAGAACTGAGATTAACTCTCACTTTCAGTCAAATTTGTGATTTAAACTAGCTTAAAGTTATGAGCTTAGTCAGAGTTATAATTTAAACTAGCGTATTACAATATATCATGATGTAGTGAATCCCTTCGAAAGGGCCATTCACAGTGAGGTCTATCTGAGCTAATGATTCAGTTCCATGTGTCGACTAGCTCTGCCATATATGTGAAGTTCAGGTTTTTCAGCTTACTTTGCTGTGAATTAAAAATGATTTTGGAACTATGTTCGCTGTACCAGATATCTCTGTTAGCTTAGGTAAACACCAGTATGATTGGCCTATAAAATGAGAAAC